AATTTATGATGTTTGTGATAAGACATAATGCACAGAAAAATGTAAGTGACCTGGAAGACATAACCACATACTGAAAATACACCACACACTGTTTAACTTCAGATTTCCTCTCTCCCATTCTCACTACCTTTGTAATATTTTATCAGTCTAGCCTTCATTCTCTTTCCAGCTGTATTGTTTTACTTTTGCTACAACTCCTGTCCTAATTTCTGAGCTGATCTCTCCCTGTCATTTATGACCCTTCCACCCCTCCACATCTACTCTTTGCAAAGCGTGTAAAAACCAGATTTTCATGCCTCTATTAAATTAGCAGATCAAAGAGCAACCTTTCCACAATGATTTCATAACACTTTCACTGTCACAGATGTCTCCTAGACAGGAAGAGCAAGCCAATATGAACAAAAAACCCCCTGAAATAATAAAGAAGAAATAGGGGATTCCTTTTCTCTATTCTTAATACATCTGAAAATGCAAGAAAAGCCCTAGAAAATTTAATTAAAACAAGAGAACAGGGAATTGCTAGCCCAGAGTGGCTTAGTTTATTTGATTAAATTGAATCTGATAACATATACTAACTGAGAAACTGGACATGCCCAGAAGTATCTTCTACAATTTATATGAAGAAACATAACAACCTAAGAGAAGCATCTTGTGGCTTCTGTATTGAAATAACACAGTGACATGAGCATGGCATGCACCTTTATTCCAGAGCTTGATCAAACACTCAGTTTACCAATACAGGAATAGAATAAGATCTTGAATATGAACATAGGTGTGGGATTCTAAACCTGTGAAACTGATTTTGAAGAAATATATTTGTATAGTTAGTACAGTCATAGTCAAGTAGACTCACCCACTCTTTTTAGCGAAGGGATGCAGACATGATAGCTCTTGAAACATTTACTCCAGGCACATTTATACTCTGTCTCAGTGATGGCAGGGTACAATTCTGTATTACTCAGAAGAACCACTGTAACATTTGGTTCTGGGAAAACTCTCTACACTAAACGGAATCTTTTCCAAGCTGGAACAATACAAGGGAGCCAAGGCATAAATAACACATTGTCTGAGGGCAGCACTTTTGTTCTTTCCCTGTATAAAAGCTATTTATGAAACTGTTCCCATACCTGTGGAAAGACTTCACTACTACTATCTTCCCAGACTAAGAGTGTGGAAATTTAACAGACAAGGTTTCATCTTGATGATACTGCTTGCTACAGTAACATCATGTAACTTTTTATATATATCAAAGACCATAATTATATTAAAATGAAATATTCTAATTTTCTAATTTTCTAATATTATAATTCTAATATTATAATACTATAATTCTAATATTCTAATTTCTCTTAAGAGTGTTTAATATTGCATTATCTTTGAAATATTGCTCACAAAACTGATAGTAATTATGCTTAAAAACACATAGACACCAAAAAAAGTTAAGGACTATAAATCATTGTTAAAGCTCCAAATGAATTCCGTATTAAATGAAGATATTTTAGAAATGCCAAAGAAGATCAAGGTAGGGAAAATGTTAACAGTTATCAATATAGGCTGTCACTCATGGAAAGAGTAACAGGAATTAGATGGCATTTTGAAGTAGTTAAAAATAAAGGCTTAAATAGTCAGCAGTAGTACTTTTTACCTATTCCATGAATTATGGCAATACTGCTTTTAAGATTAGTGCTTTTTCAGTAATCACTTTTGGGGTGTGGGATACTTTTTCAGTCAAATTACTCTGTTTTCCTTAAACAGTATTTGTCCAAATTTATCTCTGATGACATTCCTTTGACTTCTAGCAAACTATACCTTGACCATTGCTCCTATGACACTAAGACAGCACTCTACTCTTCTGCACTTAAAAAATGAAGAAATTACATTCATAAAGCCTTTCTTGGTTTTCTTTAGGTAAAACAACATACAAGTACATCTGTACACTAAAATAACCATAATAGTAACATTTAAAGTTACATGTCCGTTACTACAAGCTGCTTTTGGTAAAGATGACAGCAAGAACTAAACCAAAACAAAGAGGGAATCTCAGAAGTCCGCAGTTGAGTTTTTACCTCAACTTCAGATTTCCCAAAGGAAGGTGAATTAACAGATTTTCAAATTTCTATATACAAAATTTGGTTAGAGTTTCCAGTAGTTTACCAATTGCTCCTATTTTAAAAGCAACGGTATGCAAAACCTTTGTACCTAAGAGCATGAGATCTTCTCAAAGCTGAGCTACTTTTTCTCACAGTTTAAGTCACTTGGCAATTTCTTTAAGCAGAACATACTGACATTTCATGCCAGTTTCATTTATATTTCATAACTAATTCCATGAAGTGGTTAGTGAATTTAAGAAAAAATGCTGATAAGACTTTCCTACTCCTTCTTGGGAATAACTTTAACCATAGAATCAGAAATCTATAAACCTACAGAATGATTTTGAAAGGAAGCACACTTTGGAGTCATCTAGTCCCACTCACGTCTTAAAACAGGACTACTTAAATCAAAATGCTGAGGATCATGCCCAATTTATTCTTCAAGGACAGATATCTCATAATTGCTCTAGGAAATTTTCTTCAGTATCTAATCCCCCTCATGGAGAAAAAACCAGCCAAGTAGCAACTAACAAACAAGCCAACCAACTAACCAACTAACATAAAATCTTCTTATACCTAATGGGAATCAAAGCAAGCTACAAGTTTGAAAATAATTCTCAAAGGTGCATGCATCCCAGACATACTTAAAGTGGGGCATGCTGGTAGGTTTACACAAAATTATGTGTTCTGCATAATGGATTTACAAGCTTTTCCTCAAAGACATCCTATAGATGCATTGTCACTTTCTGGATGGCAAGAATTTTCAAGGAGGACTGACCAGCTGCCAATTTAAAAACATTAAAACACATTTTAAACACATTGGAGAAACAATGTATTTTTGTGCTACCTGAAACATAAGTGAGAGGTGGTGATGTTAAAGCATGAAAGTCCCAAGTATCCTGGGGCAAATTTAACCTCTGGAAAGCACTCCTGTTTCTCAATACCTTCTCATATCATGTGCAGGATGACAGGAGGGGGCTGGGTCCGTTTCCAGTTTGGCCAGAGTGTGCAGGTTTTGCAGTCAGGTGGCGCTGGGCTCCACGTTGTGAGCAATGGCTGTGAATGATTTTCCTGTCTTGTGCACTCTGTTATCAGTATTAGCAGTGTTATTTTGCTCTTCTTATTTCATTACTGTTTCTAGTTAATTGTTCTTATCTCAATACAGGATCTTTACATTTTAGTGCCACCCCTTCTCCTCTCCATCCTGCCATAGCCAGGAGGGAAGGAGTGAGCAAGCAGGGTGTGATCTTGGGTGTTTCAGTGGGAAAATTAAAATTGGAAACACCACTCCTAAACCAGGACAGAGGGGTTTCTTGCTTTGTCATTATTATGTATTATGCTGTAAAAGTTAGTCCAGAGGTAAACTACTACTGATTAATTGTCAGTACTGGTAGTAAAACAGAGAAATCATTGTATTTCCTTTAAACAAAGGATATAGATCATCAGAGATAGATGGATAGATAGATACATACATACATACACACATAAACATATATACAAACATAAATTACTACACTTACACATATATATGAAATCAAATATCATAAAAGACCAGTCTTGACAGAAGGCTGCAACTCCTTATCAGGTATTTTTTTGATGATAAATTTAATGCATTTATAAATCTGTTTTTATACTATGTTAGACACATGATACCACAGTTTTTCAGTATTTTCAAATTATAAACTTGAGTTTATAATTCTTTTAAGTGCTGTAATTATTTCTGAATTTCTAAAACTGTCTTTCCATTTCCCAGCACTTCACAGCACACCATTAGCCAAAGGCTGTGTGTGTTTGTAAAGGAAACAGAAGGGTTTATTCCAGTCACTTGACTGGGGAGTTAGACACTATTATCCCTAAACATTTAAAATTACTTGTCCTCCCAAAAGAGATAGCACTACTTTAATTGCACTTTCTTCAGGGAAGAAAAAAAATCCAAAGAAAGATTTTTTATAAAAGGAAAACTCACCTGAAGCAAATATTTGTATGATTAAGGCTGGAATAAATACCTGCTTTAAAATTACAATTTGAAAGCCTAGAAGAGTTGTGGAGTTTTGCCCTTTTTTGTTTTATTTTAATTAGTTGTCTTGTTTTTTAGCCGGAGCAGAGTTAATTTTTTCAGTAGCCATGAGGGAGCAGAGCCTGGGGATGTGTGGGCATGACTAGGTTATTATTCTAAACCACCTAAGGTCATGCTTAGTGGCAAGAGTAAGGGGTTCTTGCCTCTGAGAAGAAAGTGGGCATAGCCTGTGGTCAGCAAAAAAAGCATGGAAGCACAGAGGGTCTGTCTGCAATTGTTTCTTGTTGTCCCAGGCTTTTGAGCATTTTTCCATGTAAAACACCCTCTTTTGCACACCTTTGGTTTTTCACATTTTTGTAATTGCTGTCCATTTTTCTTATCTCATTGCTGTTTCCAGTACATTGCTTTTATCTCAACACATAATCTTTGCCTTTTGTCTCCCATAGGAATGATAGGTTGAGGAGTGACTGGTGATTTGGAGTGCTATTCCTAAACCATGACATTAATAAAATAAATAAACCAGAAAAATAAGATTTTACACACAGATCCTTCATTTCATAGTTTTTCTCAAATTGCAAAATATAGACCTGACAAGGCTGGGAAAAATATAGGAGCATTGTATACACACTTAATGGATAAAAAAATAATTTTATGTGCTAACTACTCTGCCTGGAACTGAAACTACTTGGATCCATGACAAAATTGCATGTCAAAGAGCTAATAACGTGCTGAGCACTTTTTTTTTTAAACATAAATCAAAATTTAAGACATTAAGACAGAAATATTACATCAAGAATAAAACCAACAGTAACTGTGATCTTGCTACAAACATAAATGAGAACATCAGTGGGAAAACCATCATCAATACAACAATAACAAAAAGATAAACTTACCAGGTTGACACCGCTCATTTTTCACAATTGTGGTGAAAGTCTGCCACTACTTCCCTCCTTCAGACTATCTTAATATCAACCTGATAAGAATATAAATAACAAAAAACTCAACTCCCAACAAATAAAATGCATAAAATAAAATAATATTTTAGACAAAATAACTTGAGTTAGTGAAATCCTTGACTAGATCAGTGAGATGGATGATCTTTTTCCTTTCACTGTTTTTATATTTCAAGTGGGAGTACCTAGCACATCTTTGACATTAAACACTCATAAAAAAGAAAAACACATCTGTGAAAACTGTTAAAGTTGCATATGAAGTTGTAGTCATACATGGCAGGAGATAAAACTTGTTGCACATTGAAATCTAGGACTAGAAGTAGTCTTTTATGTCTCATTTTTTTCAAAGTGTACTTAATGCTATTGCAGGTTTATATTACTTAAGGAAGAGCTTACAAAGCACTAAAACACAGTCATTGATTAAAAAAAAAAATCATAGCTTTAAAGGAAAACATCACTGGGGAGCTGAAATCTACAGTGTGGTGGCTCTTCAATTAAAATCCTCCTTCTGGTTATATAACAGTTGTAGTATCATTCTTAAAAGTGATAGTCCAGATTTTTTTTTTTTTTTGTTCATGAAATCAAATAGTCTTCCATATTTCTACCTGGCACAGGGTTTGACTTGAAAATATTGACTTATTTTTAAGAAATTTTTTTTTAATTAAGGTGGCGTTTTGAATTCAGGACTTTAAACAACTTCTACCATTTTGGTTTTGAGAAGCACTTGGCAGTACAAGATATCACCAAAAACTAGTACTAAACTGACAAGTCATTTAAGAAGATCTCAGTTGATATGTTGTTATTTTTTTCCTGAAATAATCACCCATTGGTTTATCATACTGACTAGACAGGGTTAGATTAGTTAGGCTTATTTTAATTTTGAGGTGCCAGAGAAGTCAGAGAGGAAGGCTTCTTTGCTTAGCAAATGTCTTCTTGCTTAATCTAATTTTTCTCCAGGTGCACTTTTAGGTATGCTCTTCTAAATCACAGCTTTGTAGAAAAAAGAGAGAGCCTTGACTTAGCTATCACAATTATGCTTCCAAAGCTTATTTCTATAACTAACACAAAATCTATCTCTCCACTTTCTGTTGTTAAGATCTCAGTCACAATAGCTCTTTGTATTAGAGTAGTCTCTGCTTCTTAAATTCCATTGCCTTGCAGCTTTTACAGCCACAATATTGTGATTCATGTTGAGAACTGGACCTAACTTACCAGGCTTTTTGAATTTTTCTATGAAGAAACACAAAGCCACAGACCAATTGTCTGGAAAGGACCTCTGGAAGTCTCCTGATCAATATCCCAATTCATATACTGGATCAGGACTGAATTCAGAACAAAGAGTCGTAAACATAAGTATTGAAAAGTACCTTTTCATGACACATTTAATCTTAAAAGTTAATAAAGAGCTATAATTTTAGCAATTCTATGTCATTTTTACAAATTTATAATATAGTTGGTTTTGATTACTATTTTAAAATTAATTGTTTTATATAATTTTCTTTTACCTTATTGCTATCCCTAATTTGAGTACATTACATGTTCTATCTATCCATCCATTTTTAGATATTCCTGCTTCCATATCTGGATCAATGAATGCATTAAAATTTGCCCCATTTATGTGACAGAAAAGCTTTTCCTTCAAACTACTTTTAAAGCTAGCAAAAATAGTTACTTCATCCTCTGTATAATGAACGATATGTTTTCTAAGAGTAGATACTTTTTAATAATCTACTTAGATGGTATGAAGGTTACCAGAATGATTTTTGTGTTGTTTCATGACTTGGAGAATGTTTTTTTACTGTTATAAACGAGGAACACTAGAAAATTTCTTCACTGTTCAATGAACTACTTTACTTTCAGAATGCACTGTTTAAATAATTTTCCTTCTAAAGTAATATGAGGAATTATGTTGTGTCGGATGCACTGCTAAGTGGTACTCTAATATTGACCTGTGTTATACACAGGTATAATACAGGTCAATCTTAGGAATTGAGGAAGGCTCTAAGAATACTCAGCTGACTTGTGAGGGATTTTGTAGAATTCTTGACAACAAAAACTAAGCAGCATAAGTCAAATTCATCTGTTAATGAAGATGAAGAGGCAGTCAAGGTAACCCCAAGAGGCAAACATAGAATAGAAATAAGCACAATCTCTTTAAGAATTTAGATTAAGGCAGGCAAGACCTTTGATATTTCTTCTTAAAATATTTATGCCATTCAAAAGATTCAACTACTGAACTTCTGGATTATGCATAAAGGGTGACATGATAAAAAATTTAAACTCAATATGCTGAACATAAATGTCTGCTTAGAATCCTGTACCTGTTCATACTGAAAAGTCAAGGCCAAGAATTTAAGCTTAGTTCTTGTTTCATTCTACACTTTTTTGTCATTATGGTAAGATCAATCATGAATTATTGTCTCACTGGGAAAAGAAGAGAAACAGAGAAAACTGAGACGCTGAGTTATAGTTCTTTTCTGGAGATAATGTAGTCATTGCTTCAGGAGAAGTTATTTTCTTGTGTTACCTGACTTTGGGCCAGTATCTGAGCAAAACTAGCCATTCACAAACTACAAAATAGTTAGAAAAATTAAAATCTACTCTGGAAGCATGGCTATCAGAAGAATACAAAAGAAATTGTAGTTCAATTTTTACAACCTTTGTGTAATGCATTCAGTGTGTGCTTGGCACTAAAAAGAAAGCAGAAACTGCCTCTGCCCTTCTCTGACACACCCATCCTGAAGAGTCCTAGCATTTCCATAAAGGCATTTTCTTACTTCAAGCACATGCCTTATTCCTTCCTCTAAATTTTTTATTAATGAAATTGAAATGTACAGTGAAACCACATGACCGAGACAGTAAAATTATAGGAGAAACAATGGAAAAAAATTAAAAGAAAAGCAGAAACACTAACTGCCAATGTTCACAGCAATCATGTGAGAGTCCTCTGCTTTGAGTAAAGCCTAATTTCCTTTCATAGAACCACGTTTCTCCAAATATATTTTACTTGACAATTATAACCCTATTTCACATATCTAACACAGTTTCATAGACTCATAGAACAATTTGGTTTGGAAGGGATATTTAAAGGTCCTCTACTCCAAATTGCCAATTGGCATTTTCTCAAAATTTGTTTCCTCTAATAAAGTGCTTCAGCAAAAATACCTCTCACAAATTTTTCATTATAATCACCTATACAAAGATATAATTGATCTAGCATAATACTTTCCTAATGGACTAACCAGAAGGAATTTCTTCCAGTCCTCACATTAGGGCAAAAATGTTAATGTTACATGATCTACATAAATATTAATGTCTTGAGACTAACAGAACTAATGGAAAGACTGTGGTAGATCCATGTTTTTATCATATTAGATATCAAATTTGTGGTTTGCATCTGTCTGTGGGCAATGACTACTCATTTGTTTTTGGATAAACTTACTACACGACTTGCAAATAGAACAAATAGAAAGAGAGCCAAAAATTTTCCTAATACTTGACTGGAATTTACCACACTGAAAGAAGAGCTACTCCATGGTCAAAAAGTAATAAAAGAAAAAAAAAAACTCTCTCTCTCTCTCTCTCTTTCTTTCTCACTCTCTCTCTTTCTCTCTCTCTTTTTGGAAAATAAAAAAGGAAAACAGCAAGAGATATCCTCAATAGCAAATCATGTTCAGATTTTCCACAAAAATGTAAGGATTTGACTGTTTAAATAATAAAACTGCTTATGAATGATGGCCAAACACAGACATCTTATTATTTTGACTATGCTTATGACTTTTAGAGGTTTATTAAACATACAGGTGACATTCAGCTCTGATCTTTAAGCTGCCAGTACTAGAATCCAAGAGCATTTACAAAAAGGTTGCTCATTTTATACAAGAATCCTCACTTTCCCTTAGCAGTATTGGAAACAGACTGCTGCTGAGCTTAACATCTGGTCTGAGTAAATAAAGAAATTCTCAGGGTGAAGAAATCACATTTTGCTAAGTTGTTTAAGTGTCTTCCCAGCTGAGAAATCAGAAATATCTTTCCCATAGAGCAATGTGAAAAATGATGGAGGACATGATAAACATTTGAATTAGGAGACATTATTTGAATTTTTGAGGGCTTTTTTTTTTGTGCTGTGATTTTTTTTACCTATCACAGCTAGGAATATTGAGGGGCTGTTATCTTACTTACTAAACAGGACCTATTAATTTCAAAAGGACTATTTATACAAAAACATACTTTCTCAGTGTAATCAAAGAATGTTAAGTGTTGTTTTTAATTGTGTGCCCCAAAGAAAATGAAATGGCACCTGGAGAAACAGCAGCTTTCACCAGGAAACCTAGTATTAACCTATTAACCTTTTAACAGAACAGCAGCTATCTACAGTCTGACATCCCCAGCTTTATGAACAGATGAACATAAATTTTGCAATTGATTTCTCAAATGGCTGCATTAAATAGAATGCTCTTCTGCCTAACTGAAAATATCCCCCTCATTACATTAAAATTGAATGGCACACTTTCTAGAAGGATGGTGTGCACATATATACATTTCAGCTGCAAGGCATCTGAGAGATCTTCTCTCTACCCAAAACTGATACCACAACTTAATTTAAAACTTGAACAAGATGCAATGAAAGCCTAAGAGCAGTGGACTTGAAAACTAAATATTTTATGAAGTTGATCACAGGTAGGAACCCACTATTTTTTTAAACAAAAAATCAGATGACTTGCATGGTTTGTTTGAGCACATGTGAAGGATTCAACGTATTGTTAGGAAACAGTGAAAACAAGATTTCCCATAAGCAGTAAATTAGTTTTTTAATCATTGCCAGCAAAACGTTTTTCAATTAAAAAATACAGTGACTCCCTAACTGCGATTTCTTATTCTAAAAAGTCAGTTGGTGTTCCACATGACCATAATCTTGTTAGAAACAAAAAAGTTTTAGGAAATTTGTCTATGGAATTAAGGCACGAGTTATTTGGATTCTTATTTCTGGACAGTAGAAAACAGG